CTGTTCGTATTCAACATGTGTTGAACTCCAGCTCTCAGAAGCCCCAGCCTACATAGCCAATGTTACAGCATTGTGGAAACTGGAGTTAAAGGCATTAGGAGGAAATTAATTCAAGACAAAGGTTCCCCATCCCTGCTATAAACATGTGTGAGGAATTTTCACTGTTAACAAGCCAAATGAATAGCAAAATACAAGGGATAAAGTCTATGTTATGGTTATTGTGCTCACACTGTAAGCAGCTAATGAAAACATCCCATCGTTTTTATTTCCAGCTATATTGTGCCTTCAGTGACATGGGATAATTTAAGTGTGGGACTCACTGAAGGCTGGCACTGATTTTTGGCCAGGAGTTTGGGCAAGATTACTTTTTCAATCCTAGTAATTAATTGATTCCTTAACTCAAATTCCGATGGCAAATCCGCCTCACAGAACTGTAGTACCTGAGCCTGCCTATCAAACTTTTTCTCTGTGTTCCATACTGAAAATAGTGTGTATTTGTGTTTACCTCACTACATAAGTGGCTATGTATTTATCTCAGAATGAGCTGATAAAATACCAAAGATACAGATACACACCAAGATTTCTGGCTATAACATAATGTGACAGGAAAAATCCAGGTAGTACATTAGTTCAATAATATAACATTTCTACTGCTAAAAATAGTAAGACTATGGTGATCATATTTTATGTGCAGTAAAAGATCCACAGGTGCTCAACCAAAGTGTCAAGGATACACTTCATATTTCAGGATAGTTAGCCTTGTACTGGAGTGGCATGTGCTGTATTAGAAACAGGAAATAAGCATCATTAGGGCCATACATTCTGAGATATGGCCCACTTTGTCCCCGTAATTGTTATTTATTGCTCTTAAAATAGGAGCATAGAAGTCTGTCTGGAAGACTTGTGCTTATAAGGCCAATGCCTGAATCCACATTTATGTTATAAAAGAAGAATGAAAGAGCCTGCTAATGCACCCTAACATAGTGTCATAATCATTTACATCAAGCAAATGAATGTAGGGGGTTTTGCTATTTGAAATCATTTTGTGGCAAGACAACCTTCATCATTCAAGCCAGGCGCCCATCTCAAATGAAACACACAATGTCATGCAAGAAGTTTACTTACTGCTGTACGGTTGTGTGGCAGGACATCTGCGTACAGTTTGCAAAGGAACAGAATTTGGATTTTAAAATGGCTGTTTATTTCATTAATTCCTTTGGGGGAAAACATTGTTCCTAGGGCAGAAGTGGGCAATTAATTTATATAGGGGGGCCACATGAAAAAATCTGAACTGTGTTCAGGGGCCGAACCAACTTTACTTAAAAATAAAATGAAAGAGTGATGTTATGATTGTTTTTATTTTAAACTTGTTAATCTTCACAAATACTAAAGAGGTTTTTTGCGGTATGTTAAAGATAAGCAACTGATCAACTTTAGACAAAAAGCTATAGATGGTTTTGATGTTCAAAACTGTCCGCGGGCCAGACAGGAGCAGCTCATGGGCTGTATGTGGCCCTCGGGCCGCACTTTGCCCAGGTCTGTCCTAGGGTGTGGAACTAATTAAAGTAGGATGAAATTCCAGAAGCAATTTTGCTGCTTAATGGCCCTCTAATTTATATTCCCATTTTAACATCTGGATTTAAAACTTAGTTGGGGGAAGATTCTGTTAAACATCTTAACTTCTTCCTATATTTTAAAACAGAAGATTTTGCCAGAATCAATTCAGAGTGTTCCCATATCAAATTTTTCTGTGGACTATAAAATGTTGATGTTTTATTGTAGGGGGAAGAACCCACAGCAAATTTAGGCATCTAGAGCCAGAGGTTGAGGGTTTGATTCCTCACTGTGCCTACTGTGAGAAGAGCTTACCTGTGTAGCCTTGGGCAAGCTGCACAGTCTCTAGGCACACCAAGAAACAAGAAATGGTACAAAATCCTTCTGAATAGTTTATACATAGAAAATCCTGAAACTAGTCCCTGTAAGTTGGAATTGACATGACAGCATGTAATAATAATAAAAGAAACCACAGGAAGATTAGTTTTATGTAACAGGCAGGAACAAGCACATCAAAAGGAGTAATCATATAGAAATTATTCCAAAGTACACCTTTTTGGTACTGAGCTATGATCATATATTGAATTAATCTGGAAATTTATGTGTTGTCACTCTGTTTCTACATATTTATTATCACTATCCTTATTTTTTCTTTCAGTGACAGTCAAGGACTGTAATTCTGCATACTTTTTCATCTATAGGAAATATAACCAAACAAGAGTCAGTAAAGGGTAATCCATTCCAAGCATGGCTTGACTCTTCATATGCATATCTCCAAGGTCTGGTGACCTTACCTCACCACAAAATAGAATAGGTGTGTGTGTGTGGGGGGGGTGTGGGTGGAAGGCAAGCTTGAATACTCCCAGTTGCTGCCTACAAAGCAGTTATGTTGCATATAAGCTGTGAAGTATTGAATGCCACTTTACATATTTTCTCTCTGGTTATAACCCCCCTTAAGCTTGCTGTTTTGGTAATCAAGGTAGCATTATTTTCTATACACAAAATATTTGAGGGAGGGAGGAACCTGTCAAGACATGGAAGGAAAAGAAATAGCACTGGTTCACCAACACCACCCTTTTTTTTTTACCAGAACCCACCCATAAAGATATTGTTGGCAGGCGTTCCAGTGATATATTTTGGCTCTTTTCACTCTAACTGGGCCTGTTGTTGTTTAAATTTTCTCTACTGAAATAATGTTTTGTGCCTGTGGAAGCACTTTGTCTTCTAGCTCATGTTGCATTTTCCATACACCCTATAACACTTATGCTTAATTCCCTATCAGCAGAAAAAGATTTCCTCAGGATTAATGTCAATGGGGAGCAGATATATGATCAGAAAGTAATAAGCAAGAGCTAAGTTCAAGCTGAAGTTGAATTTATGGCACCATTTTGGAACAGCACATATTAGCATCTCTCAACACTTGCATTTCTCATTTTCAGCCACTAGATGGTGGAAAAAATGTAAAAGAAGTGCTCAGAGATCACTCAAGTGCCATAAAGCTGAAGCATTAATTCAGAGTTGAGAAGTATTTGTTCATGTCCTTAAGCTTAGGAGGTTCTCAACTATATTTCACCTTGAGAGTATTCTTAACAAAACTCTTTGTTTGCCTGGTAACAGTCAAACCTTGAACTGTACAAGTCGAAATAGTTTATTCTCTGGCATTTTATTTTCCAAAGTCCCTGAATTCAATGATGACAGGAGATTTCATTTTGCTGAAAAACTTGACAGTAGTCTGAATTTTGACCAATTTTCTTTGTATCAGAAAATGGTCATATTATTTGGAATGGCTACAAAAGACGGATGTTGAAAGCCAAGGGCTGAATATATACATGAAAGAAGGCGTGTGTGCGTGCGTGTGTTGTGCCGTCAAGTAAGAACTTATAGCAACCCTATAGGATTTTCAAGGTGAGTGAGATAATTAAGAAATAGTTTCACTAGTTCCATTCCTCCAGTCAGTTTCCATGGCTGAGTGGGGATTCGAAACCTGGTCTCCAGAGTCCTGGGGTTCATCACTCTTACTACTACACCACACTGGGATTTGTGGATCCAGCAAGCGAATGCTCAGAACGATAGTAGACAACTAGGCCACAATAGTGGCCCTGTGGTAAGGTTAACCTCTGACTTACATGGCAAGAGCCAAAAAAGTATCCACAGGGAAATACTGTACGGCACTTTGAGGAAGCACCCTAAAAGCACACCGTGTGGTGAATACATCATATATAGTTTGGGATCACTTGGTTCCAAGCTCATGTGTGTGCAATTCCCATGTGGATCATATCATGTGGAAGGAGGTGGCTTAACCCCTTCCCCTCTGGCATTTATTTCAAAACTTCTCTACTGCCATTATTGAAAGCTAAGAAGAAAAAGAAAAGAAAAGGGAAAAGGAAAGGTGGCAACATGTTCTCTCTCTTTTTGTTCAAGGATGGGTTTTGAAATAAAAACCTGTAAGGGGTGAGGTTTAAATATATCCCAACTTATCCAGATTGACTGTGCGCACTTGATCTTTATTTTTAAGATCCTAAATTCGTGCTATGTATTTTTCATGGACCTTGCAGTTTAGTCTCTAAATAACACTAACACTACTGAGTTCAGAGGAACTCCCTCACTAACAAAAGTGGAAATGAATTGATTATAAAACAGTTTTAATGTGATCAGTTAGAGTTTCCATAGTCTGACACCAGCATGAATGGATATGGTGAAGAACTGTGCCTCCTTTAGGAATAAAAGAAAAATGTATTTGCATTAGGATCACAGAAAATAAACTGCACAAACTAGTGGCAAGGCCACTAGATGGTGTGATATAAAAATTTTTACTTACTTACTAAGAGGAGTATGTGTTGTATTGAGGATTGTTCACATCTATCAATACACACACACACACACACACACACAGAGAGAGAGAGAGAGAGAGAGAGAGAGAGAGAGAGAGAGAGAGAGAGAGAGAGAGCTAGAGAGCTTCCAGACTGCTCAAGGCCAAAGTATGATATGGAAGCTATACAGAAAATTCAGAATCAGCACATACATGACATGCCAAGGAACAGGAAGAAAACACACACACACACACCATTCAGCAGCTGACAAGGTTACATTTTGCATGCAATAAATGCATTGTCTCTGAGGGAAGTTACTCAGGGATGGGTAGCCAAGATTCCAAGCACAGATAAACAAGCTTTAAAGACAATTCTTGTTAAACAATAACACTTCAGATGTGATTACATTCAATTGACAAAGTAATTAATGTGCAAAAACCTTTGGACTGAATGGGAAAGATGTAAAGGAAATGTTGACTGCTCCACACCCACGAAGACTGTATCCTTCCCCCTCCTTTTAACTTCAACAATCACCCATGAAAACCATGTCTTTTTTCTCCCCCCCATCCTTTTTTTTTTCCTTTTCAACTTCCAACTATCTCCTCATACCTATCTATTCTTTCTAGGATACCGTACCTTGCTGAGAATGTAGATAACATCCCCACGTCTGAATGTCAGCTCATCAGGAACATCTCCTGTACAGTCCCACAAACCTTGATAGAAATTAACATAATCGGTTTCTTTATTGCCTGGGGAAGGAAAAGGTGCATACATTAGATATGTCAGCATATGTGATTGGGGGCTTTGTTATCAAGGACACCAATATAATGCCAATCAAACAAGAGAAGCTGAAGAACAACATGTCATCTCTCTCTCTCTCTCTCTTTTTTTTTTACAATCAGGAAGCCCATCCCTCACCCTGTCAGTTTCCCAGGTAGAAAAGATGAAAAACAAGTTCCATTCACTGAAGTTTTCAAACCTGTTTCTCATGAACATGCAGCTACAGGTTTTCACAATACAACACAGAGCTGCACATTGCAGCTTTATTTCAAGCACAATGTATTTTCTCTTTCTCTCCCTCTCACGCATACACACAAGACCTGCTGCTGACATTAAGAACACCTGTGTTAACAGTGACAAGGAAGAGTTAATTTTCCTCAAAAAGAAAATAAGAAACACTCTTCTGAAAGCATTTCCCTTTTTGAGAATGAAAGGTGAAATAGCTGTCAGATTTATGGAGATAACCTTGCTGAAGCGGGCTGTTCATGTGTGCGTGCGTGCATGTTTAGGACATCACGCTCTGGCTAAATATGCAACACATATTGAAGCCATAAACTCATCCTTCTAAGAACATAAGCACAATGGATGTGCCCCGTTCAAACTGCCATACAGACCATTAACTGATTGATTATTTTAGCACTGTTTGCTCTGTAATGCCACCATAACAGAGTAATAAATGCTTTGTCATATGCTCACCATACAGAGGAGCATTTACTGGGGCACTGAATTCAACGTGCAGCTGAAATACACTGAAAGCTTCTCTGCACATGGCAAACTGCTTCCTGTTTTCCATTCTGTAAGAAGTGAATTGATTGAATTAACCCATCAAGAAAGTAAGCCCAGCGAAACCAAGAGCTACATTATGTTTGCAAGAATCAGGCCAGATGAAAATATACTCAAATGCTGCAAATTAATTTAGAAATAAAAATCCCAGATCTTCAGGAGATTATGAGATGGTTCTTGTTGTATGGCATCACATGACTTCTCATTTATGCTGACCCTAACCAGGGTTTTCAAATTATGTGAGATGTCCAAGGAGTGGTTTAGAATTGCCACCTCTCAATGGGCTCCCCATAGCCAAGCAGGGATTTGAACCCTTGTCTTCTGAGTTCCTGTCAAACGCTTTATCCACTATACCATACTAGCTCTTGGGTTGAGAGTATATTTTTTCATCTAGACATATCAGCCATACTGATAATGTTTAAAACATTACAATGATGCTTTTAGCTCATTTGAACTCTAAACTATTTTTTTTGCATAGTTCTTCAGAAAAATCTGTACTTATTACTTATTGTTTTTTGTGAAGGCACACCAAATGCATAGTAGTCGCCTTCCTTCATAAAATAACCTGGTCTTCCAAGTATAATAAATAGCTAGTCTGAGCACCACAAGGAGATTACAATTCTTTCTTTGTCTCTACATGACAGCTTCTGAAAAGTGACATTCAAGAAAGTACCTACATGGTATATATGTGCAGGTACTTTCCTGAATGCAATTTTTCAGCAACTATAACATAAGAGAGAAACAGAATTGTGACAATGACCAGTGTAAAGGAAAAAAAATCAAATAAAATGAGTGTGGGGCTCCGTGCGTGCGTGTATGTGTGTGTGTGTGTGTGTGTGTGTGTGAGAGAGAGAGAGCAACAAGAGAGGAAGAACAAGAAATCTATTTCAGAAGATCCAAAAAATCAAATAGAATGCTAAACACCAACAGGAAAACATACTATATTATCTGACCAGGATAAAATAAAGAGAAGGTAGAAAAAAATATACTGAGGAACGATACAGAAGAAATAAAAGGATGAACAATTACTTTGAAGAGGAATCCAATGATGAAGAACCTTTTGAAGAAAATGAAGGGTACGCTGATGTGAAAGATATAAATCGCTAAAAACAGATGGAATACTATCTATTATTAAATATTGTTAAAACTATTCCAAGCTGAATCTGTCAAAATCCTAACAAGAATATGCCGAAAAGCATGGGAAACAAAATGATGGCCTGCAGATTGGAAACATTTAATATACATTCCAATCCACAAGAAAAAAAGACTATAAGGAGTGCAAAGCAAGGTAATGCTCAAAGTGTTGTAACAAAGACTCTTGCTCTATATGGGGTGAGGAATGCCTGATGTTTAAGCTGGATTTCAAAAAGAGGCACTAGAGATCATATCACAAATGCACGTTGGTTACTGAAGTGAACCAAAGAATTTCAGAAGCAGATCAGGAAATGATTAGTCTATGCCTTATAGACAACAGTAAAGTCCTTGACTGAGTGGATCATGAGAAGGTATAGATTGTTGTGAAAAGAACAGGTTGGCACCAACGCTTGCCTGTTGTGAAGTATAAAACTGCATTATGGACAAGAAGCTATTATTAGGACAGAATGGAGAAATGGAATGGTTCCCATAGGCAAAGGTGTTAGACAAGGGTGTATTTTATCTCCATATCTGTTCAACATGTATGTACAACATATTATATAGGAAGCTAACGTAAGAGTCAAATGAAGGAGAAGTGAAAACTGTTTGGAGACATCAATAATTTAAAATTAGCAGATGACATTAAGTTATTGGCAGAAACCAGGAATGACCTGAAATGATTTCTGATGGAACTTGAAAGAAGAAAGTGCAAAGGCAGAACTGCAGTTAAGAAAACAAAAATTGTAATTACAGAAGAACTACACAACTTTAATGAGCACAATGAAGAAACTGAAATTGTTAAAGATTTTGTATATCTTGAGTCTGCTACAATCAATCCAAATAGATATTGGAGCCAAGAAATAAGAAGATTGAGACTCAGAAGGGGAACAAAGAAGGAACTAGAAAAGATCCTCAAGTGTACGGACATGTCACTGGAGATCAAGACCAAGATCATTCACAATATTGCATTCCTGATTTCCATTTAAGAGTGTAAAAGCTGCACAGTGATGAAATATGACAGGGAAAAAAAAATGATTCATTTGAAATTCATTTGAAATGTGGTGCTGGAGAAGAGTTTTGTAGATAGCCTGGACTACCAGAAAGATGAGCAAATGGGTCCTAGATCAAATCAAGTCTGTAATTTCTCTGGAAGCAAAAATGACAAAACCGGGGCTGTAGTACTTTGGCCATATCATGAGAATACAAGACTCTCTGGAAAAGACAATAATGCTTAAAAATCTAAAGGTTTCAGGAAAAGGGGAAGACCAAATATGAGATGAATTGACTCCATAAAAGAAGTCACAGCCATGAGTATGCAAGAGCTCAACATGGCAGTTGAGGTCAGCACATTCTGGAGGTCACTCATATTACCATAAGTCGGAAGCAAATTGAGACAACATAACAGAATCAAATGGCGTTCCAATACTACTTTCACTGACATCTGCAGGAAGTCACAGACCAAGGATGGGGAATGTGTCACCCTTCCGATGCACCTCCACTGTCCTCACTTCTGGCAACGCTGCCTAGGGGAGCTGCAGCTTAACATCTGGAGGAGCACCCATTCCTTACTCTAGTCATAACATGACTGCCAAAAGGGAAAAATAAATTAATTAGCAGGACCTCTGATTCATAAATTTATGGCACTGATGGAGTCCTGAAGCTCTAAAACTCTTCTTCCAATGACTGAATTCTTTACCCATTAGCCAAATTAGGAGAAGCACTCCTAAAAAAAGAACATAACTCTTTTGATGGAATCAGATTTCAAATGTAAATAAAACTAACTAAGTCCTATATTTACAGAACACGATACCAAATAGTTCTGTAATGTCTGACATATCAGAGATACAAAGTGATTTTTTTCACACACACAATGCTTGTTTGTTTTGTTTTATTTATGGGTTGTCTTTCTCCTGATAAAGGGAGAAATTTATTCCTTTATGCCCTTTTTTGTGCATCTTATTTAGCTGAAACTAGGTTAGTACTCACATGAAGCAAGGCATTTGAACACTTTGGGAATGTTCTCACCCTTTAAACTGATGGAACCTTTCTAGCCTTTCAGAAATAAGTGAATATATATCTTGTTTCAGAGGTTGTGGGGGACTAGATGATACAGTTAGCACGAGAAGCACACATCCCTTAAAAGGTGAACAGCACATTTATCCTAGCATGAATTTGCCTCACTCTGCATGTATCAAATCAGGTTGCTTTTACTTTGTAATTGGGTTATTGGGAGGCAAATATAGCCTGTGTTTGTAAGTCTGATTGTGCAGGTACAGAGTTTTGAAGGAATTATGTGCCTGGAGGGAAAACATTCTACCAGTAAGAAATACACATTTCCCTTAAGTGTGTGTTGACCCAAAGATTTTTGGATGCTGTATTCTGTACAGATGGAGTAGGGTTTAAGACAAAGATTGTAACATTATTTGTACTGAATATTCACCAAACAATCATCCTGGAGATCCAGAAGTGGGCAGAACAGCAAAGAAAAAAATACATTAATTGTATGCTTGACCCCATTGTAAGTGGAGATCTGTGGTACACATAAGAGTTTGGTCTAAGTTCTCCAAAGCCTTTAGGATTCACCATGTTCTGTTCTGTACAATATGCGTTTCTCTAGGAAGGCTCCTAGTGAAATAAAAGATTAACAACATGTGTTAATCTTTGGTTGCACTTGCTTAAACTAATATGGGTACCTTCTTAAAAATCTCCAGGAACGGTTGGTAGAGTGTCGCTTGTGACTAATTATATCTGTATTAGTTGAAGAACTATTGGGATGTGGGTGGGTGGAAAAACTCTTCCTCAGCTGACTTAGAAAAAAGAAGGGTTTAACTCTTTCAAAAATATGTAAAAAATGAACTGACTTATGCCTGGTTTTGAAGACATTTCAAACCAATGTGATTTGATCCCAGGTAGAGGAGTATATGATCACAGCCTAAATTTTATTTCCATGTATTATAAGGCTAGCCATAGCCTTGAGTTTAAAAGACCTGAGCAGGGCTGCTAATGATGGAACCTTTTGAAGGGCACTAATTCATATAGGCTCTGTTACGTC